CGATTGAAAACACGAAAAAACAGAAATGATGGAGAAAAGAAAAAGCAAAAATGTTTTTATGCTGACATTGACATTCATTGTCATATTGTTAGGCTAGCATTGTTTTCTTGTCGTAATTAGCTGTGCGTAATAACTTCTTGGAAACATTTTAACATCCTTAGACACAAAAATTTCTTGGTGTATGCTATTTATATTTATAATTATCGAGGCATTATTTGCGTAATTTCCCTTTTAATTGTTTTGATTATGTTAAACATAATAAAATGTCATCAAAATATTATCTACATTTCGTCAAGAGTACCTATAGGGTTTCCAACGCAAGTGAATTTTTCTTGCACGCATTTGCGAACCCTATCTTTACGCGCAATTCCACGAAATTCCGTAAAATTCGGGAAAACTTAATAAAACGGAATTCCGAATGAAAAGCTAGGGAAAATGTTGGCAACTAACCAGGCTTTCAAGACGATTAGATAAAATGTTGAATCTTAATTAAAAGAAAAAGTCAAAAAGAATTTTTGCAATAATGTTTGAATACAATTGTTTATTAGATAACTAGGCTTTTAGGGGAAGTTTATTAAATCTAATAATCGACTCTTGAGAATAGGGTTTCCAACGCAAGTGGATTTTACTTGGGCGCAATTGCGATCCCTCAAAATTCGACGCAATTCCGCACAATTCCGAGCAATTCGAGAAGAGTTGCGCGCAATTCCGCCCAATTTCACGCAACAGCTATTTCCGAATGGAATTCTACTTGAGAAGTATTTAAACCGGAGAAATTGATAGTTTGATTCAGTTCTTGAACACAATTGTATCCACATGTTTTTTGTCTAATCTTGTATCTTTGCAACCTGAGGCAGAGTATACGCGACCGCAATTAACTTTCCTTGCATTAGTACCTTGCATGTGGACATATATTGGGATTTGACACTCTAAAACTTACTAATTATTCGGTTAGAGTACTGCAAATCAGTGCAGTACGCAACCAAAGCTTAATTTATGGTGTAGAACATTAGCGTTTAGTTCATTTCACGGTTACTCTTCAAAAAAAGGTAAACTGACTGAATTCCAGGAGATTCCACATATAGAGACTAGATGGGATTTAACATCAGCTACTGTTAGAGATCAGTATTCAATCAATCTTTATCCGTATCCACTCACTCTTAGAAAGGTTAGATATTGTTTTATTGAATTATTGTAATTATTGTATATATTTATTTATCTTTGTACTTATTACGTTGAAGCTTAAATATTTTACTTATGATGATTAATGCAATGTATTATATTTTTACCACCAATGTCTTCTTGTATTGATTCTGTTATTTTATGTAACTTTGTATTGTATATTTATCCAAAAAGGATGATATCGTAACTTCAGAGAGCCGACTGCGGCGACATTTTTTTTATACAATCTTGCGTTTTCGGTCCTCATTGATGGGTCATCCAGCATCCTTTCTTCAATTTGAATTTAACCGTGTTCTGGTCTGTAATTTTTTTTTTCTTGTAAAGAGGAGGATCTGAGCACCATTGGGGACGATATCGTCGTGTTTGAAATTCCGTCTTTAATTCATTTAAGGATTAAAATGAATAAATGATAATATGTATAACTCATGTACATTGTACTCGACGATGAATGCCAAAATATGAGACCAGTTATACACCATCAGTGGATAATAATTATCTTTATCAAGGAAATATGGTTTCTCAGCGGTCACCAAGACAGTATCCCCCCCCCCTTCTCTGATCCCCGTGATGCCCCCCTTATCCTCCGAAATATTCATTATATAAATACATAGTATCACCCCGCATTATTATTAGAAACTAACCATACATTGTTTGCATATTGTTTGTTTATTGTTTGCTTGTCTATTTTCAGATAGATAGATGTACTGCATTATTAAATTTTCAGAAAGATAGATCTATTTTCAGATAGATAGATGTATACTTCAAAATAGACAAATAGATGTACTGCATTTTCATACTTTTAGATATATAGATATCTGTACTGAATTAGCATACTTTTCGATTTATAGATAGATCTACTGAATTAGCATAATTTTAGATATATAGATAGATCTACTGAATTAGCATAATTTTAGATATATAGATCTGAAAAAAGTGGTTGGTAGCTAAAATTAGCCTTCTAAACATCGTAGGAATAATTCTAAAATGTGTTCGGTCTCTTTTCTAAAGATTTTTAAACAAATTTCATTTTATTTTTACGTTTAAAAACAGAATAGTATGAATTGCTCATATAAAATGATTTTTCAGGAGAAATGACGTACAGCTCTAGGGACCGAGTACATATCGAGTACATTATAAAGGTCAAAATGGCATCGTAAAACAAAATGTTTTTTTACGAATCGATTAACTCCTATTCATGGGCATCGTACCTACTATAGTAGCACTTTTAAGTACAATAAAACAACGTTTATTGTGAGAAAAGACACATATTATAGGCCTGATTTTAAAGGTTAAAACGGAATTTTAGAAGAAAAAAAATGTTTTATCGACAACCCCCCCCCTTCCCCCATTTCTGGGACTTGCACACCAAGGAACACTTTTGAACACAGTACAATGATGTTTAGTAGGCTAAAAAGCCTAAACACACTTTTTTTAGAGACACCCAGTAGATGTACTGCATTTTCATATTTTTTGTTGTACTCCGTAATTACCATTATACTCTCCAAGACTTTGCCTGATCAAGTTGAATTAGATATCACTGTTCATAACTCTGAAAACTATTTAGTGATGGGACGGTAGTTTGAAGGGATATTACAGAATGATGGGACGGTAGTTTGAAGGGATATTACAGAATGATGGGACGGTAGTTTGAAGGGATATTACAGAATGACGGGACGGTAGTTTGAAGGGATATTACAGAGTGATGGGACGGTAGTTTGAAGGGATATTACAGAGTGATGGGACGGTAGTTTGAAGGGATATTACAGAGTGATGGGACGGTAGTTTATAGGAATATTATAGAGTGATGGGACGGTAGTTTGAAGGGATATTACAGAGTGATGGGACGGTAGTTTGAAGGGATATTACAGAATGATGGGACTGTAGTTTAAAAGGGATATTAAAGAGTGATGGGACGGTAGCTTGAGGGTATATTACAGAGTGATGGAACGGTAGTTTGAAGGGATCTTACAGAATGATGGGACGGTAGTTTAACTGTATATTACAGAATGATGGGACTGTAGTTTGAAGGCATATTACAGAGTGATGGGACGGTGGTTTAAAAGTATATTACAGAGTGATGGGACAGTAGTTTGAAGGCATATTACAGAGTGATGGGGCGGTAGCTTGAAGGTATATTACAGAGTGATGGGACGGTAGTTTAATGGTATATTACAGAGTGATGAGACGGTATCTATCTATAAAAATGTTAGAGTGATGGGACGGTATCTATCTATAAAAATGCTAAAGTGATGGGACGGTATCTATCTATAAAAATGCTAGAGTGATGGGACGGTATCTATCTATAAAAATGTTAGAGTAATGGGACGGTATCTACCTATAAAAATGCTAGAGTGATGGGACGGTATCTATCTATAAAAATGTTAGAGTGATGGGACGGTATCTACCTATAAAAATGCTAGAGTGATGGGACGGTATCTATCTATAAAAATGTTAGAGTGATGGGACGGTATCTACCTATAAAAATGCTAGAGTGATGGGACGGTATCTATCTATAAAAATGTTAGAGTGATGGGACGGTATCTACCTATAAAAATGCTAGAGTGATGGGACGGTATCTATCTATAAAAATGTTAGAGTGATGGGACGGTATCTACCTATAAAAATGCTAGAGTGATGGGACGGTATCTATCTATAAAAATGTTAGAGTGATGGGACGGTATCTACCTATAAAAATGCTAGAGTGATGGGACGGTATCTATCTATAAAAATGTTAGAGTGATGGGACGGTATCTACCTATAAAAATGCTAGAGTGATGGGACGGTATCTATCTATAAAAATGTTAGAGTGATGGGACGGTATCTACCTATAAAAATGCTAGAGTGATGGGACGGTATCTATCTATAAAAATGTTAGAGTGATGGGACGGTATCTACCTATAAAAATGCTAGAGTGATGGGACGGTATCTATCTATAAAAATG